GGAAGTCTGGAAAATGTCCATGTGATTTCTGCAGGTACTGCATAAATAATTCACTATGCAAACTTTAATAAATAATGGTGTTTTAATACAAATCCACGATGAAGAGGAGGAAAACAGCATTAACAATACAGAATAGGATTTGGGAGAGACAGGAAGGAGACAAAAGTTTCCTTATGAAAAGGTTTAAATTAAATGAAATAACTTATATGACATTCATGAACAAATAAGAGGTTTGGAGGAGTGGCTGGGGTCTGACACAAAGCTTTTTGAACTTCATTTACTTCCATCTGCTTCAAAGGGTTCCTGGTCAAGCTTCCAGTTTTACACATTAGACATAGATAACATTCTGTTTAAGCCTTAAATATTACATCTGTTTATTTCCAAGGGAAATATATATATATATTGAGAATACAGCATCTGTATGAGACATGTGGTCTGTCCAACTTTTGAAACAAATTTCAGCCCTTTTCAACCTAATACCATCTGATTTCTCAGGTTTCTGCTACCTCGCTCCCTATGAAGTCATAAACTAAATTAAAGTCACAGTTCTGCAGCTGTTAATTTACTTGAGTAATCTCAGTGACTTCACCAGGTTCACACACATCTATTTATAAAATATATTCTCAGTTCAACAATAAAGTAACTTAACCTCATGTGAACAGAAATTTGATGAATTAGCTATAAACTTCTAATCCCTTTTTACATATGTTTTCTGTTCCACATTCCCAGAGCACCGATCATGGCAAAACGAGAAAGAACACTGAATTACTTCAGAAACCCTCCTCTACCTCTCTTACAAATCTGGGGAGACCAGACTGAGGTTCTCTGATCAGCATTTTCTAAGCTCTATAAGCCAGGCTGTGTGAACCTTATTTGGCTGTGCCTGGAAACGAGACACTCTCTAGTTCAGTCCTAAGGAAGAGCGAGACGTGCTGACTCAGTGTGACTCCTCAGTGTAAGAAAGCTTCCAGGGAAAGAGAAAGAAGAGGGGGGACTCGGGGAGCAATTCAGAACCAGGCTTGATCTCTGCTTTTTGGTGAACAAAACAGGCAGGTGCTGAGCAGGACACATGAAAGGGGAGTTGGTTCTGCAGGCTGTTGCAGAAGAAAAACTTACCAGTTTTCAAAGATAAAGGCCATGCAAAAATGCCTAAAAACAGGTGCTGAGCCCTGTTCTTTAATATTCCTGAAGTAGGTACAGGCTGTCCCATACAGTGTTAGATGTCCAGGTACCTACAAGCTACTTAAAAAAAAAGATGTATAAATAATAAACTTTGGAAATAAACTTACTAACTACAGGCACACTGGTCACTCTGCTAGTCACTGACCTGACCAAAGCCAACACACGATATGTGGCTTGTTAGGATGCCAATTAGAAGAGGTGACTCCCTCAGAAAGTAAGTTCTATCCTTTGCTGTCTGTCCCTTGACTTCTACCACCCCCTTGTTCATTGTCTCTGCTTAAGAAATCTCATGTACAGACAAAGCATCTGAATCCAACAGCAACAAATGCAGAAAAAAGAACTTGTTACTATCAGAGGCAGATGAGCCAAGATTGTCACAGCTTGACCACATATGTTGTTTGAAGCATGTAAATGATTAAACAAAAATGTGTCAACATAAAGAGGCAGTTAGGAGCAAAAATCAGTGAGAAATAGCTTTTGAGAGACTGTTTGGAAGCTTACAAATCCAAGGCCCTATAGAATTAGATGGCTAGTCTGACATACAGATCTTTGAAATAAAGACAACTGAACGAGGCATACTGAGAAAATCCAACAAAACATGTTCAACTGTCAGACCTCAGTGCTGGTATTGGAAATATCCAATTCATTTCTCAGAGTTGTCCCACAGTCTCCCTCTAGCTCTGATCCCATGAGTCAGATACAGCCAGTCCACACGAGCCAGCTCGCAGACACAACTGGCAGTTCACTGCCAGCCGAGCGCTCCTTGGGTTCACCATGGGACAAGACACCGCTGCAGATAAGGGGCCAAAGAGCTCAGGGACACCCTGCCTAGCCACCAGAGAAGTCTGTTCTGTCACATAAGCTCCTGACTTGGTACCTCTCCCACACTACTGCCCCTGATGCCTTTCACCTATGTAAGAACAGGGTAAGTCTGAGCGAGGCACCTCTGGGGTAGAGTGAGCCAACTAATGGTACAGCAATGCAAATACAGCTGCTGGAAACAACAAGAAGCAGAATGGATGGTATCTGGCTGGAACCACAGAGGAGCACTGAGAACAGTGATCCTACAGCCAGGAGTTCTGGCCAGGTCCCTGAGGAAAACAGAACTCCATTTGCTAAACATGCCGAGCAATCCTCACACCTCCAAGTGACCAGCGACTCGTTTGAGGGGGTTGCTCTTGTAATGCCAATACAGTGTGTTACTGATGCCATTAAGGGACCATTCTACCAGCTGTCCTCTGACCCCTGCCATGAGAAACAGGTAGGTAAGGAACGAGAAAAGGTTGTTATTGCAATAGGGAGAACTTGCGAAAGGTTTAGTCTAAAAATATAGTCAAGGAGGTAAGATCTGTAACGGTAAGGTTTGTGCCTCCAAAGGTGAGAAAGAAGTGAGGAAACCAGTGCTGGAGTTGTAAATGGGGCAGCAGAAGAGACTGAAGACAAATCTGTCATTTATTTTGGGGTGTGTTAGAGCCTAGACTCTACTTTTAGAGTGAAAACATTGTCTGAATTTAGAGCAGTTAAGGAGGACATGACACAGGTACACAGGGTGCTGAGCCATGCCCCTCCATAAGCCAATAGGACTTTCCCTTCAGGTCCATTCTAGGAAGTGGAAATTTGTAGAGAACTCTGGTTCTATGGACCTTTATCTCTGACACAAGATCTCAGGCAAGCTCTGCAGACTATAAGGTACCTTCTGTAGGAAAAGAAAATAACCTGCTCTTGTATCTCAGTATTAACCCTTAGCAATTCTATCTGAAAAAGAGAGGAAGGATGTAGATCCCAGCAGAAATAGAAGTAAAACCAGCATAGGCTAAAATGCAGAACCTGCAGCTGAGGATAATGGAGCAGTTACAGGTTGCAGCTCTGAAAGGCAGGACGATCAGGCTGTAGAAAAGAAGTTGGATGGGTTATTTTTAGGGAAAAGGACAGGTTATAGGTGCTGTTGAAACAGAAGGGTTTCACAGACAGTGGAGGTCACTGGTCTGGTTTTTGTTTCCCCCTCTAAGGGAGTGGGCAGCTGAGACCCGCATAGACTGTTTAGCATTCAGGAAGTGCTCTTCCCACCCTGGCTTCTACATATCCCCTGGTGACAGTTACTGATGCCTGACTCCAAAAGCCTGCGTGAACTTCAACTAGGCCGTGGGTGGAGATTTCTCCATATGGGGTGCAAAAATCTTTAGAGGCCAAATTCTGTCCTTGACAGATAACTTCTGTGCAGCCCCAGTGCCTTGGTGAAGGCACTGTCACAGTGAACAGACGCTCGCAGCCCCAGATCATCAGCTCTCATTACTTTATATAGCACCCTCAGTGTCCATAGACAGAAAGGATGCTGGGTACCAGCAGAACCAAGTCTTCCCAAATCAAGGAAAAGATCACATTGTATAGTTAAGGTAACAACAAAGAAAACAAACGCAGAAGGGGGGAAAAAAGGGAGCTAATACTTAACTGCACAAAAAGAGTTGGGAAGATGGCTTTGGAATAGTTCCTTTAAGTCATTTTCAAGCCTAAGAAACGTGATTTCTGATCAATCTTACTAGTTTTAAAAGAGTGTGCTTTAGGATATTTTAGACATAGTTAACTATTCTTACACTTAATTGCAAAAAGAAACAACTATATTTGTACTTACCTTTTCAGCCTGTCAGAGAAAAGGATGAAAATACACAACATGTTTTAAACCTTTTTCAGCTCCTAAACAATACATTGTAGTATTACTGATAACACTGATCATGTATACAACTAGAAAACTCTGGATCTGACTCTGCAACTTTTCACTGAGAGGAGATTCTGTTCCAACAATCCTTCTGAAGTTAATGGGACTGCTGGATTATTAAGGAATATGCATATCAATTGCAGGTTGTAGGAGTAAGGCTGTTCTCTCAGTGTATTTGATACTCAATTTATAAGGGCTTTTGCCAACAACCAACAATCTTTATAGTTGTAATATTCTAGTAAATAGTATAAAAGAACCTGTTTACTGGAAAAAAATGTGCTCCTATCATATTTGATTAGCTGAAGCAGAAACCAAATCTGATTTCTGTTCCCCAGTCGCCACTGTCACACACAGACACTGTGTCCAATCCAGCGTGCAACTTATTTGATGTAACAAATCCCATTAACTGGGATAAACCTGCTTCCCTTACATAGCCTGAGAGTGAAAACTTGTTTGAAACTGCCTTTCACTCCACGTTTTCCATCTGCTGGTGGGACAGGTCGGGTGGATCCCCTGGCTGTGCCTGCTGATGCTCCCAGGCTCGCTGCCTCACCCCACTGTGCACAGGCTCCAGGGACAAGCGGTTCAAAGGCGGCTGGATGCCCCTTTCCCGGACGGCTCCTCCAGCCCCCCCGGCCGGGAACGCCGTGGCCAAGGCAGCGCGGGGCGCCCCGCCAAGCCGGCTTGGACCCCCATCGGGGCTCTACTCACCATGACGGCGAAGACGAAGGCGACGATGTTGATGGGATAGGCGGGACAGAAGCAGGCGAGGATGCTGAGGAGCAGGTAGTTCTTGGGCCGCGGCTGCGGCGGCCCGTCGGGCAGCTCATCCTCGATGTTGGTCTCGGGGCTGTTCTCCAGAGCCCGCTTGATGTCGGCGCCGGCGGGGAGCGCGGACATGGGGCTGCGGTGCGGAGCTGCGGGCGGGCGGCGCGGAAAGCCCAGCGCCGCGCTCCGGGCAGGCGGGACCCGGCGCGGCGCCGAGCCAAGGGAGCCGCCCCGGGACGGGGCCGGGCGGGGCGCGGGGGCCGCGGGAGCTTTCAACTCGTGAGCGAAGTTCACGGCGGGGATCGCAAAAACACCAACTCCGAGCAACAGCCGTCGAGAGTTCCCAGCGCCGCGTCCCGGCTGCGGCGGGTCGGGGGAGCCCCGGGCTGTCCCTGCCCCGCTCCCCGGCGGCCGGAGGAGCGCGAAGCCTGCGGTTGTTCCGGACTTTTTGGAACTTTTTGCTGTTAAAAGACTTTATGCCAGTTTGCATGACCCCTGTGAAGAGTTTAAGAAGTCTCTCCGGCTCCCCTCGCCCCGGAGTTTGAGAACGCCGCCGCGTTCTTAAACTCGCGTTTCCGATGTCTGAGCTGCGTCAGCAAGTGGGGTAAAGCCTGAAAAGGCATTTCCTCGGGTCTAGGATGAATTCGCCATCTCCTATAACTCCAGCGACTTGTTAAACTTAGGAAAAGCTTTGAAGATTAGCAGAAAATAACGAACCGAAAGGATTATGGCAAATTTCTAGCAAGTGATTCAGTCCTTACTGAACATAACGCCTGTAAAGTGAAATCCACTTTGGGGGATGCACAAGAAGGAGCAAAGAAATTAATATTATTTCCAAACACTAATATTTTGGGAAAAAATTCCCTAACAACCACAAAACAAGTAAATAAAAAGATCTGCTTCCGTCATGGTTTTCAAGTTGGTGGGAAAAACTATGGCAGAAACAGGCTCTGTTTCTGCCATGTGATATTAGAAAAAAGACTTCATACCATACTTCAGCAAAATGGAGACTTCTGATCAGATGAAGGCTGAAGTTGAGATTTTGCTCTGTCTGACTCCTCTTGAGAGCATTTAATTAATTAAAGTTACAAAAAAATAGTAAGATGTGTTTACAGCTTTATGAATGAGACACTTTTGTCACTGGAAGCTTTGCCATTGACTTGAATGGAGCCACGTTTCCCAGTTCCGGTTGTCATCAAACAAGACATAATGTAACACAGTAAAGACATAAGAAATAAAGATGCAGCATTTTCACTTTCATGGACATTAATCATCACTCAGCTGCATGCCTGGAATATAACATGGAATGAGAATCTGCTGATCTATCAAAATGTCAAAAGAAAAGATGGTGTATCTTGAGGAAAGAGTAAGAAATACCAAGTCCCTTCTGCTTGCCAACGTAGCCATTAGTGTTCGGGCACAAACTCTGTGTAGCTGTAAAACCTCTGATCTGTTTCTTCTCAAGGGGCTTTAAACACAGTCAGCAGACAAGCTCAGAAAATACAGTTCACATCACACCATACAATTACTGTTAAGAGTCCATGGACTCCATCCCTTTGGAAGGGATCGGCTTCCAGGGCCGCTCTAGCCTTTAATCCACGAGCACAGTTTCAGGGGACTATTGTCATGGCTTAGAGTTTGAGTTTGCCTGCTGGTAGTTGAAACACTCACAGGCAAATAAGAACCAATGAGAACATCCAGCTCACTTAGGGAAGTTTGAGCCATTAACGGTGAACATAAACAAGCACAAAGACAAACCCGTGGCAAATCAACGCCACGGAGAAGGCACAGTTCTGTGCAGAGATTAGCCAGGGAGACTTGAACCTCGGGTGTGAGGAAAGGATGGAGATTCTTGCACTCTAACATCAGACATTTAGTTTAAGTGCCTTTATAGGGTGATCCAGAGTTACCAGTCACATCAACAACCTGCAGTAAATTTTTCCCCGAGGATAATGAACTGTAGGTAGAATTTGGCCTCTGTTAAGTTGGACCGTGTGACTCCTTTCCCAGGTCCCTGAGACACAGACCTAATAGAAGAACCTGGGGGTCCTTGTGTGTTTCTGGAAACAATAAAGTTTAATTGTTCAAATGAGGCTGCAAACGGATGCTAATGGATTGCAAAGAAAGCAGGAGATAGGAAGTGGTGAGAAATTGAGGGGCAATTTGTGCTAATGAGAGCTCATTAAGAGGTTCTGGAGATAAAGGTTCTGTCACGAGGCAGTTAGTGTAGCTGAATTTAACCTATCTTTTACATAAACCGCTAAAATTCAAGAATTATATCCTGTTAGGACAAGACTGATTAAATTTTAAATAGCACTGACTTGGAGCCACTTACTGAGGTGAAGAAAAAGAAGGAGGTACTCAGCCAATGGTTTGGTTTTACAAGCTGCAGGGATGGAGAGTAGTTACATTCCCGAGAACCTCAGAAAGTCCCTAACTTTAGAGGGGAAAACCATTGTGCTGAGACGACTCAGCAGAAAGCTGTGAAAATCATTTAAGAACACGAACTGAGAGTTTTAAGATGTAGTTCCATGAACAATCATAAAAATAGCCCTCCAAGAGAATGAGTCAGAGTACCAATATTCCCGCTTACAGCCTTGCACTTCAAGCTGAGCCCTGAAAAAGAAACCGATCACTCTGCACAGAGAAGTGATTTTCCAAGGAATATGAGTAAGGCAAAATGCTGGATAAATTACTGCCATGATGGGCAAAGCAGATGGGCTGGAGACGTGACAGTTTCAAGATACATGTTTTTTTTAAAGGCCTTCTTCCCCTGATTTCAGAGAGTGCTATGGCTTGACAGCAGGATTCCTTGCAAGGCAGAACATGGTCTCTCCATCACACTTTGCTGTATTGCTGGTAGGACTCTCCTCAAAGGCCCACAGCGGTTCTGGGAAGAAGTTCCAGTGTCTGCACACAAGTCAAAGTCCACATAAAGATCAAAAATGGCAGTTTAATGCCCAGAGGTTGTTTGAGACTAACATGTACGTCTACACAACATGATACAAGGAGTTTCCTCGCTGGTTCTCCACAGCACTAAGAGCAGAGTCTCTGCAAATCCTGAGCACTATAAACTCTTCTCATGGGTAGAGTTGCACCAGAAGGAGCTGGTGGGACCTTGTACTGGCCTGAGAGACTGGTCAGATGGGCTCAGCTTTCCCAGCTCAGTGCAGGGTGAGGGAAACATTTCCAGATCCCAGTTCATGTGGCAATGTGTCCCCAAACTGGCCTTACATAGGGCTGTGTTTGATTAGCACAGTCAGTCACTATACACCAGAGCTGGTGGCACTCAACAAACATTTCAGATGATGTTCTCTCTATGGCAAAAATGAGCACACTGGTCTTTCCCAATTACTCTTAGGGAAAAAAAAAAAGAAAGAATAACTGAAATTTTTTAAGTGAGTGCAGTGTGCCCCATGGAGGAATACTAACTTGCCAGGAGTGCAAACAATGTCTTTGTAAAACAAATTACCTATGATTTCTCAGTATGGCCACACGACAGACTATTATTGCTTCTGTTTCCAACCCTTCTGGATTATTAAGCAGAAAAAAGGATTATAGAAATAGCAAAGGAGACCTGTGAGCAACACTTTCATGCTTTTCCCAAGAACAGTTTGTTCTCTGGCTAGATCATGGACTCCAACCTTTCAGAATACAGCAGACAAGGTGTTCACAGGAATTTTTCTCCACTCAGAATTAAACACCACTTGGAGGGAAGGAGGTCACAGTAACAGTCAATGGCCATGTCAAGCTCCAAACTGAGTTCTACTTAACCAAAGAAAAAAATCCTCTCAAGCATCTTCCAGGATTTAGCCATGCAAACCTCAGCAAACCTCACTACCTTGTAACGCCAAGGGAAGAGAAAACTATGAACTGGAAATGAAGTAATTCAATGTCTAATATTTTCATACTGCATCCATTGCACAGTAATTTAAAGTTCTTCATATACTTCATCACACTATGTCATAATAGTAAAATCCATCTCTGTTTTGCAAATGGAACAAGGAAGCCCGTGGGTATTAAACTATGTATACAGAGCAGCACTGCTACTGCTGTTACACAGTTCAGTGTTCTGAGTCTTCCCTTTCCTCAAAAGGGGGATCACCTGGACACAAGAGGATGCCTCCCATATTCCAAAAAGTAGTATTTCAGCTCGTTTACACAAGTGCTTCTACAGAAGTATTCTTCTACAGGGGAAAACTAACCCACCCTTCTCTTTTCAAAGACTATTTTTAACCTGGTCATTCTGGTCTTAACAAGTGTGTAGGAACATCCCTCCCCTGCTGGCTGTTCATCCTCATGATTGTCAGGCCATTCAGCAACACTGAGCTGGAGACTGTGACTATGAGGGAACAAAGACAGACCTGCATTATTGGTTTTTGGTGCTATGAAGTTATGAAGAAATCTGTGTCACCCAAGCAGCTACTGGAGGGAAATGACTCCCTGTCTATTCCCAGGCAGCAGTGCCAAATGAACCACTGTCTCCAGCTTTTCGTCTTTGCAGGTCTACTGCTAAATCAGTCCTTTATTCTGTACATTTTGTACATTTTGGTGTCCAAATTTGCTTTCCACAGATAGGTCTTTGCTTAGAAGTCTCTATTTATAGTGAACTGAGGTGAACTGTCCTTTTTACTTGTGCCTGAACTTCAGCTGCAGAAAACATTCTATCCTCCCCCCCCCTTTTTTTTTTCGAGACTTTAAATCCAAATACTTCCACAGATTGGGGTTTTCAAGTTTTGGACCAGAACTCTGTACCTGGTGCTTATTGTTGAGAGAGAAGCCATATTTTTGATTCTTTGTTGCCGTTAGAGTTGAATAGAAGCTACAGAAAATCCTGAATGGGGCGAGACATAAGAGAAGAGCTGCCCTGGTTGTTATCGATGTTCAGATAATCCTGTTTAATCTTATTTGGTTTGCTCCTAGGAAACTTCTTATTACAAATACAGAATGTTTATGTGAGTGTAACATTCTGCCCTGGCCTCAGAATAAGGAATAAAGTAACTCACAATAAGGAATAAAGAAGTAGCCTCAGTGGGGTGGCAATGAAAATACTACTACTAACCAACATAAAATTTGGATAAAAATGGAGATTATGTTAATGACCAGAACAGGTACAGCAAAGGACTAAGCACTACTAAGGAATGCAGGACTGTTACAGGTTCAAGAAGTGCAAAATGAAATCTATTCTAATTCATTGTGTTGGCCCCCACACAGCTGTACCATGGAGGTTTACTGGCAGGTTTTGGGAAATAGCCATTATGCTTTTGATTTTAGATATTTTGGTATCTTTCAGCTGCTGTTCGGGTGATTATGTTGTTTATATAGTGGAGCTTGTAGATAGAAGCAATTGGTACATGCATGTGTAAACTAAACTTACTTTAGTTTAGCATTAAACTTACTGTAGCATCAAAAGAAACGAGAAGGGAGAGATTTGGGAGGCTGCCTGGGTCTGCTTACTCTACCTATCATTTAGGGATTCAAAATGAATATTTGGATCAAACTATTTGTCAACATTATGCAAAAGAAACAGTTGCAATAAGCTGTCACAAAGACAGTTGTTCCTAGCTCTGGAGTAAGTTTGTCTATTGACAGTATCACAGAATGTTCATAAATTACATTCAGGCAGTGCTGGATAATGACAAACTAAAATCCTTTTATACAGGAGACAGAAACTAAGCTTACTTGATGGCCCTTGAATTCCAGTTGAATCAGTGATAGCCTAGCAAAGATGTTATTCATTTATGAGATTGAATCAGATAGGTTCAGTTTGCTGTCTTCAATACATTTTCAATATCCTGACAGTTCTACTTTTCCCAAGACAGGGAGCTGCTGTATTATTTAACTGAAAACTGTAGTCAAGAAGTTACAAGAATAATTTGGATGTTGATTTCTTATGAAAGGCACAGTAGTGGGTGGACTTATAAAGAAGACAGAGATTACTTGTACCAAAATTATTTCTTTCCCATGAGAAACAGATAAGGGTCAATATCTGCCCTTTAACTCTCTGCCATAAATAAATGAGAACATTCAGGAATCAAAGGCTAAATTCATGTTGGCTTTTTTTTTTCTTTTTGTCAACTTGCATATATTTGCATTACATCAAACTTCAAGAATTAATGTAGACCCTTCCCTAAATCTGTTCCTATCGCTGTCATTTCTTCTAGAATAGAACTAGTTAGGGCACAACAGGGGCATGGCTCGTTGTTCCTGCTTTTGAAGTGGACAGAGTTTAATATGTGGCATATCAAATAGTAGAAAGTGTAATGACTGGAAGGATGCACGCTCCCTTCCTTCAGAATTCTGGATCAGGACTGTTTTTGCTATTGTATTTCTGTGAGCATTTGTGAGTCAGCAGTGTCTGTGGGGCTGATGCATTAGTCTCCCACTGGGATCAGTGTACACTCCTGCTGTAATAGGTATTGTGAGAGAAATGCCTTCCTTAGCTTAAACATAACTTTGCAATTTTACCCTTTTAGCTGTATGCTCCCATTTTTCATTGGGGACTACAGCTGTGGGCTGTGGCTTTGGAAACATCAAAGATCCGTGATGAGCTGTTAAAACTTTGGTAAATTATTCATGGGAAATAAACATGTGAACGGGGAAATGTTCAGATAAAAATGAAAGTTTCTTTCACAGTCTGAGATTTTCATTCACTGATAACCTTCTAAAGTACTACCCTAATTTGAAGCCAATAAACAAGTCGATTGTGCGAGCCTGCTAGCGCTCAAACATGTGGGAAGATGTCCTTGTGTGTTTTCCATGGTCTGTCCTTTTCCATTCTGTCTCCTGGCTTCTGACCTGTCGGATTTAGTCGTATATCAACATCAAAGGATCTGTTACAGCAGCTCAGACAGCAATGGGCATCTGCTCAGTGCCGTGGGTGATCTGTGCTGGGCTGTGAGGAGCCCTTGTTTTATCTCAGTGTTCCATTTCCCTGCAAATGAGTTCATGTTCTTGGAAGTTTTCCTCCTGGTGACTGGCAAGACAGGCTGTTGTAGCAGTCCTTGGTAGTACTGAAATAGCAGGATTTATCTTACCTCAGTTTAACACTCTGAAAATAGAGCTCAGCTCAGTTAAATTTCCTTTAGAATCCAAGTGGAGAGTTACTACCAGGGGATTTAATAGCAGGTCCCTTCTTGTTTATATCTTTCTTTTAAACTGGACATCTAATTTTTAAGATTTCTTGCTATGAGAATTCATTTCAGACGTGGCTGTGCAATGCAGTACTGTAAATTCAGCCTTTTGGAAATACTAATGAACATTTATTTTCTAGGAGTTCCTGAAAACATTTGTAACAAATTTGTTAGTTTAAGAATTTGAACAATTTTGCCAACTTGAGTATTTGTATTATCAGAGAAATTACAAACTAATCTGTACTAGCAAATAACTGAAAATTGCTGTTTTGAATATTTTTCATTAATTCAAGTGCTTATGAAAACATTTTGGGATTATTTAAGATTATTTCATATTCTATTAATAAAGGTATTTGGTGCAGACAATGAATTCGATTAGTTCTTACTCCACAGTCAGTCTGGAATCTCTTCATGGACTTCTCTGGATCAGCTCCAGTTTCCCACAATACAAATAACAGGAAAGCACAGCCATGGCTGTGCATGTTCTGGGGTTGGATGAGGTCAATTATGTTACTTACTGGCAGGATAAGGCTTGAACCAAAAGGTTAAATGCACCCATTAGGGAAGATCTGGATCTGGACTCAGATCTGAACTTGTGGGATAAGCTGAATACTAATTGTTCTATGAATATTTAATACACTTAGCACTTTCCCATTGTGTACCATCCCAAAGGGACCATCTTTCTTTCCTTCTCTCACACATATACACATGTACTCTTCTTTCATTAAGGATTCCCAAATACAGTAATTAGAACAGTCATCAAATTTGGATCTGACTGATCCAAAATCCAGCTTTTTTTCAATGCAGTTGCAGTGGCTCAGAGTGCACTGGTGAACATGGCCTGGGACTCAGGTTACTGTTACTTCAGGAGATCATTTAGTGAGAACAAAGGAACTGAGACTCTGTTTCTGGGATAGAAACCCAGCAGGAAATAACCTGCTGGTAAACATAACAGGACAGAATTCTTTTTCCTAACTGATACATTACATTTATCACAGTCCTAAAAAAACCTGTTCAAATGTATATACTCAGTGTCCACTTTTGTCCTGTGACACCAGGACAAGCTGCAGAACACACACCAGCATGTCAGACTGATAAATATGCAAATATTCTACTTTGTGTTGTTTAATAATTTCAGTGTTTTCTTTTTACACTTTGTGCATGAGAAAATCTGGTAACACTGTTGTGGAATTTGGAGAGGGCTTTTAAAAAAGTTCCCTGGTCATGTCCTGGATTCTTTTTATAAGCCTGCAGTAATCAAGTCTCTTTTTTTTTTACAGGAGCAAAAGCTTGCTTTTTTGTCATTTTTATCTCAGCCACTCAGATTATATGGGACACAGTTTTTCCTCTTTTCCTACAACAAATGGGAACAGTTGGACGTTGCAATCTTCCCTCCACACTTTTTATGCAAAGTTTTCATTACAGAATACACATATTTCCTTTATCTGCAACCTGCCCTACTTTGTAAACGTGGTTTGAAGAACCATAGGTAGAAAACAGCAGCCTTTGAAAGGCAAACATTTGCTAGAATATTCTGAGAAATGTTCTAATGAACTCTCTGTGCAAGACAATGTTTTGATGACTGTTATAGTAATCTGGCACTAGAAATAAATCAGATGTTGTAGTTGTGTCAACCACGACGTGTTCTTTTAAAAATCCACCACAATTTATAGCACAATGACTAAATCCATCATGTATACTTGGGTGTAATTTACAATGTAGTGTACTAAAATACAGCCACCCTAATAAAAACCCCTATAAATCACATGGAAAAGAAACAACCATTTGCCAGGTAAAAGAAGGGAAAGATAAGTCAACAAAGAGAAGAGGCTTTTTTTCAGCCTTCCCCTACTTCAGGGTCTAATCTTGCCCCTGTGAAGTGCACTGCAGAAGACTAGTTCAACAACAGAAAATCAGAATCTTGAGAACTGACATTGTTAATCAGGAGTGACACCACTAAAAAGGATTCTATTGTGTGGGGCTGATGCAGCCATCAGTGCAAAGCCTGCAGGAGATCTGTGTAGCTGGAGCATGCCAGCTCCTCTGGAAGGCGTGTTCTGATGGGAAGGAGTTAGTTTTGAGTTTCCTGTGCTTCCAGTGGAATACAGCCTTTATTTCAGAATACACCCTTTAATTCCCATCTTGGCTGCAGAATAATCTAGGATCTGACTTTTAACTCACTTCAGTATGAAAATGGCCACTTACCACCAAAGAGAGTCCCAGTGGGCTGTGGTGGTCCCTCAGAACATGGAACTCAGAGGCTGGTTCAATGGGCTGAATGCTGCTGTGTCCCTGCCCTCCTGGCATGGCATAAAAGAGCATTCCTCGCCCTCACTGTTGAGAGGGCTCCTGAAGGAACATCCTCTCTGCTTCCTGTTACCCTGATGAACAGAGAAATACAACTTCAAACATGCTACAATGACAGGTTTGTTGGACTGTTACTCAGCCATCTCAACTTTTCCCTCCCTCTCCAATTTTGTCATGAAACACAAACATCAGGTAGACCAAAATGCATCTACATCCCTTTTTTGATGTTGGCCAGTGACAGATGATTAAAAAGGGTGATTTCAGGGTGCTTCAGGCCCTGGTATGTCCTCTCAGCTTCTTGTGATCAGCTGTTTATGATCCAAAATTAGGGAAATTAAGGTTGAGGCATCTGAGAATTCTTCCCAGCTATGTTTGGTCACATCTTTTTCTCTCTTTGACCACTTTCTTTTGGTGGTTGGTCAGTTTTCCTACTGGGAATTGTACTCTTATTTTGCTGGTCACAAGATCAGCCATAGCACTTGTAATAACAACCTATTCTGATTTTACAGTCATCAACACTCAGCAGGGTCGATAACAATCTTTCCACTGACCTTGATAGAAGCTGGAGCTTATCCCAAATACCCTGGGGTTTGTTAGGCTGGGTTTTTATCTTCTGCAATGCCACAACAGTGGTATTTATCAAAATTTAGCAGAAAGGATTGCTGTTATTAATGTGCAAGGCTAAATATAATTTCATCTCTTTATCATGCTGGTGTGGTCTTAATTTACAGGACAGAAGAATAAAAGGGTGATATATAAAGCTGAAATTCCAATTGGGAATATGTATCTCAATTTCTGAATAGCCCTACAATGAGTGTGACATTTCTTTACAATAAAACAGCCTATTTCCAAGAAAGACAGAGATGTTTATTTTATAATCCCTATTTATAAGATGCTGCTTTTTACGCCCAATATAAAACAGAGTGGGACTATTGTTGTTGATATAATAGGATGATTGGCTTCTTTTCCACAATGGTGAAAGCTTTCCTACAAGAAGAGAGTGGAGATGACAATTCCAGAACCACTGTGAAGCGGAAGGGAAGGGTGAATGATGAAAGAGGCATTATTCACTCTTCTAATTGACGAGTCTTCCTGTAACAATTTCTGGCCTAATATCCAAGCAATTCTCAAGCAACCATAACTTTCTGCCCTGCTACCAGTGACACCCAGCAAAATGTTCTTATCTCAGCTTCACCTGAGGCGTGTGGGGCTTGGATGGCACTGGGAACACATCAGGCAGCAGGAAACAGGATTAAGAATCTCCGAGTTCAGTGTCTGAATCCCCCAGACATCCACTCCAGAGCATCAAGCAAGTGACCAACCCAAGCTCGTGTGGCTTGTTTTGGCTAAGAGATTTGTAAATGACTGGCTCATTAGCTGAAATTTAGAGGACCAGAACAGAATGGGAAGATGAGCAGAGAGAACACTGGTCCAAGCAGCTCTACCACACTCTGGAGACCTTCAGCAAGTTGCTTGGACTCTTGGTGCACCCATCTCCATGTGTTAAATGGGTTACTCTGAACCTACCCTGCAAGGGTGTATTGAAGCAGCAAGTCTGAGACTGTGAGATTATTTGTGGAAGTATTTGGGAGAATCCAAGATATCTGCAGGAAAAAAATCTCAGAAATTTAAAAATCTCAAGTCCTCTTTTACCTCAGTATGAACTGAACACCTCTTTGTTTTGTTTTAGTCCTTTAAGTTGGCAGACAAAGACTTGAGCAGAGCTGAGGATCTTGCCTGAGGAAACTGTCAGGAAGCAGGAAAAGGAAAGCTGCTATTTTTCTCCAGAGGAACTTTTTGCCACCTCAGAATAAAAGAAGCAGAATTTTTTTCATTAGGCTGATGCTGGAGAAAAAAAAAAAAGACAATCTATTTTCTTCTTAGAGGAGAAACCCCTTTTTACCTGGTGGCAATAGGAGAGAGAAGAGCCATCATAAACCAAAAGCATACATAAGATATTTCATAATCCCACAAAAACATTACAGACTCCTAACATTCACACGGGCATCCTGCTTTGGGAGCTCAGAGAGCTGCTCAGACATTTAGCACAATCATCTCATCTTACATGAGGGCAGACACATTAGGTCACATGTTTGGCTGGTATAAAGTCTGGATTTTGGCTTCATGGCTCGTGCACTCCAGCCGAGGACAGGGTCCTTTGTTCCTGTTTCTTGGATGTAAGGAAATTTCACAATCTTCTCTCTGCAGTTCCACAGAGAGAGGAAGGACCAAGATGAAGGTTCCACCCTGTGTAACCACAGTTCCACCAGGAGCTCCTGAGCTGCTAAGTTTTCTTTCTGTTTGCCACAGGGTAACACAACAGCAGTGACAATGAAACTTGACTCAGATCATGGTGGTATGATCCCAAAAGAAGTGGAGAACTGGAGTCTCTCAAAACCCACAGAGGGCTGCAAGGAAGCTAAAAGAAATGGAAGAATACAGTGAAGAGTGCACTTGAGGTCTCTGAGGTCAGAACAAGACTTCATCCTGCTCCTCTGGTAGAAGCACTGCCACTTATTTCTCTGGGCACTAGGTCAGCCCTCTGGAGCTTTTTGAGAGAAGTTTTTCACTGGATTTTGAGATGGAGGACAAGAAAAGCATAGAGAGAGGAAAATATGGCTTCACTATTTGTACAAATGCTAACTTATCACTGCCACAGATAGATTGAGAAAAGCAGGAGCACAACAAAAATTTAGGAGCTTACTTTTTTCTTATGTCTGTAAGTCAAAGAAATCTGGCTCTTTTCACTGAAAAACAATTACCTCTTGATATTGAGGGGAGACAAAATAAGGCCGTTAATCAATAACATATTACTCATCAGTGGTCACTCTACCCACCTGGACCCTAAGCTGGCATTGTTTCCCCTTATTGTGGCTGAAGGATCACAGCATTTCTCCCCAGTGGGTCCTCTGGAAGCTTTGACAGGCAGGGAAGCAGCTCAGTAAGATCATCAGCTTAGAAGGTCACTGGGTCACCAATTCCATCACCCAGCAATTGTGACCCACCAGGAAATACGTGGCTGAGCCCAGACAGGTTCACAAACATCACATATTTATCACTGTCTGTGAGTTCAGGGGTGTCATTCTACTGTCTTACCCTGCACAGTAATGGCAAACATATGCTGAGGTAATGAGGGGAAGACGTATCTTCAGCTGGAAACCTGAGAAATGCGTCTAAGGATGCTTGGCTTTTCAGTACTGATTTTAATAAGGCAAGAATTAATCCATAATCATACAGTAACTACAGGATAAACTCAATGCAAAAATAAAACATCTGAATTACAATAGAAAGAATTAATGCAAAAAAAAAAAAGACTTGTCTTAAAGCTTAAAACTACCCTGTGCTTGGGCTATTTTTCATAAAGGAGATCTAAAATGAAGAGCAGATAGAGACAATGCTATTTAGACATGGAAATCAGTATATCTGTGCTGAGTAAATGCTTGTTATACTGTAGGTATTGTTAGAAGAATGTCTGAAGAAATTACCTGACCTGTGATTAAGAGGTGAAGGACTGTGCTACTCATCTGAAACCACTCACTGAAAACCTCTGCTGGCATCTGCACAGTACTTTCATGTACAAACTGAAACAAAAAAGGTTCTTTCCTGAGCTTTTGATTTATGTGTAAGAGAAAGATAACATGTGGGAAAATTTGACCATTGTGACAACAGACCAAATATAATGGCTTTTGCAAACAGTGTAGTGCTTTGTGTCACCAAAACATTCAGAGCGTTGGATATGCTCTAAAATGAACTAAAAGGAAAATCCTACAATTTTCATTGCAATTTATATCCTGAATCCTTCCAAGTCAAGTCTTTGTGTTTTAAACTTGCATCTGTCTTCTACCTACCATCAAGGCACCTACATTAAAACAAGAACTTCATCTGGAATCTCAGCCAGATCATATTCAGTGATGCTGCTCCTTCTCCTAAAACACACTTTCTTTCATCTGTTCCTGTCAGAAGCAGCACCAAGGTCCTCCTTCCTCTGTGGCTATTTTTGAAAGGTGTATAAAGAAAGAGACAGGAGATTCAGGTATGCTCACGTGTTTTTCCTCTATTACTGTTGCACAAATATGAAGGAGCAAAATGCAAAGGAAATAGCAAAGAAATAGATCTAAACTCAGCAAGCAACTGAGACTTTTCTATTGAACATTAAAGCAAGGCTGCCTCTCTGGTTAGTGACTATGCAAATTAGGGCACAAGACAAAATTCTTATTTTTATAAAACATTAAGACAGTACAGATACCCTGATCTCGACATGTTGGGTGCTAAACCTTTGCATTTGTAAGGCAAGATAACACTTGGTATGTGTAAAATGCAGAATAACCTGCTGCCTCTGAGAGATTTCTCTCGGTCTTGCAGATCAGAGGAATAACTGAGATGAGAACACAAAACACAAGGTGGCATCGTTGCCATTTTGGTAAGTTAGTTACCTGGTCACACTACACAGAGGTGTGTAAGTCTAATGTCACAGAGTCACAGAATATTCTGAGTTGGAAGGGGTTCTCTTGCCTTCTTTATGTCCTTCCTCATCTGCCAGTTTCTTCTAGAACTACAAGAGTTGAGCCCAGCTCAAGATCTTGAGAGGTAGGTGTTGAGTTTTTTTTAGTGTTGCTGGAGCAAAACAAACATTTCTGCAGAGTTCCTGGATCAGGGACATAATTCATAACCTAAATGGCTCGTGGATGTAACTATTGGGAAGGACAGGGCCTTTTCAGAGCACAAGTTAATGCTTCACTTCAAGTGTCCTAACAATTTATGACAGGTGTCACTTTCACTGAGGCAGTAAATAAATCAACAATGGCATAATAATAAAATGATACTGATTAATAAACCAATGGTTGTCATACCGTCTTTCTCTTGAAGAGTTCAAAGTGCCTTGTAAAAAAATGAATAGTAGTATCTTCATTTAGTGAGATCCTAAATGATTTCACCTGGTAACTTTCCAAGTGCAGGAATTTTACCCACAGGTGCCTTGGTCTGCCCACCCTCATCACACAGCTCCCCACATGNCCAGAACCTTAAGAAACATGCCTGGTAAATTTTCAAGTCAGGATTTTTGCCATATTTTTCCAGTTTCTTTAAGATTTTCTGCACAAAGTAGTCACTCTTCACAGACTGAGTGAGTCTGGCAAGCAATACAGGAAACCTTTAGCAGAAAGAAGAACAGCAATAAAAGAGAAGCCTTTGGGAACAAACGAATATCTGATTAATAACTCTGAGTTTGTCTGGCATTTCTGCCACTTCACCATTTCCATAACTTCCATAGAAAAAATGGCTCTCTGGGGAATGCACTACTCAACGTAATTCCGAGTGAATCATAGAATGGTTTGGGTTGGAAGGGACCTTTAATGCAAATAATGTGAAAGAGCTTTACTTTATTGGACTCGAGCACCAATTCCCTTCGCTGGGCATTGAAATAAGAGCTTCTTCATTATTCATCAAATTTTGGATGACAAACTTGGGTATGAAAGGAAATAATAAAATCCCAACAAATACTTCCATTTTGCTACACATTTGTCCTCTTCATATTTTCTCTATTTATTTTGTTTAGCCTCTGTGGATTTTCCAATGCAGTCAGTGCCTGATCTGACACACTTTCTGATTCTTCTTAATATGCCTTTTCCCTGTGCTATCATCATTCTCCTCTCTCTGTGTGCTGACATAAATCCCATTGATGTAAGTGCACTGTAATGTGCAGCCTTTACCATTTCACTCTGAATATAGAGATACAGGAGGAGAATTACACATTACAATAAAAATAAAACTCTTGTGAAAAGACTGCCATTTTTTTAAATGTTCTGTCTAAATTCTGCAGTGCTGCTTTGACAGCCCTGAAGACTGATGTTCCAAACCTTTCTAGACTGTGCCTGACTGGAGTGTGCTGTGGCTTTCATTGCAAAGGCTGGGGATTTGGCAGTGCATCATCAGGAAGTGCTGCCTCCCTCCAGTTTAGGATACATGTTACTGGGACAGCAGGAAAGGGGTGAGAAATTTCCTCCTTAAGCCGGTAAAAAAAGAAACACGTGGTTCTCATCTTCAGCAGGGCCAGTTCCACACTCAGTAGTACCCTGTTGGTGTGGCTGTACAGCCAAATCCTTATTATCACTCGTTAGATTTTCCAGGTAACCATAATTGTGTCCCACACAGGCCTTTTATAACCCATCCATGCACTGAGATATCTTGAAAAGGGAAGCTCTGTTCAGTGTACTCTTACATCATATATTTGTTCGTTTGTTTTTTCTCACTTCATGAGAGAGCCAAGACAACTCGACTGACAGCACATACTAGCAAAGTGTTCCTCTGTGATTCAGCTTTCTTGGCATGCAGAGTTTGCAAGAGCGTGGAAAAACCAGCCTTACGGTAAATGAAACAAGTGCTGTGGGGAAAGCAACGGCTCTGCCATGACTTTGTGTCTCCACGAGGGGGGTGACCAGCCTCGTTAAAACAGAAACCCAGATTTCAGCTCCGTACCCTTCACAGACAGCACTCGGCAGAACAGGGCTGGCACGGAGAGCTGTACGTGCTAAACTGTGTTGGCAAAGCCAAAGCAGTGAGGGGTTCTGTCTCCTTACCAGTTTAATCCACCTTCATCATCTCATGCCCAGCTGTCTTATTTTTTCCGTCTCTCTCCCAAAATACTTCAATTGTTTCAGAGCCTGGTATTTCTGACAATGTTGCTCTTCCTGCCTCCTACAAAAAAACCCCCCAACTTAAAAGTTAAAGTTGTGTTTTAAACATGATCATACTGCTGCATAGTTAACAGGGAAGACAGCAAGGAAGGCAGAAAACCATGAATGTGAAGAACATGTATGTTCAGTCTGTGGACACTCATACCAGTTTTTGCTTTTGCAGTGTTCTGTATACATTCATATTTCTACAAACACATTAAAAATGTTTACATTTTATATCAACTCTAAGCTGTAGGTAAGAAAACCTTCAGAATCAAACTGAAGTTTGATTTAAACTGAAATTCAACCTCCACTTTCTATGCTTAAAACCAAACAGAATACTGTACAGTGATTTAGGGTAAAATATTAATTAAAGTACAACAGAAGAGAGATGGAATAGAGTGACCTGAGCTAGAATTTTGACCCAGAGATTGGGTTCATGTGTGCATTGCTACAAAAAGTGTTGCTGGGTTATAACAAAAACAACATCTGCTTTTCTTTCCAATAAATTACTTATACTATATCCTGCCAATCTGAGGTTTCATCTCCAAATGCTGATCAAATAGGATATGTGCTTGTGTGGCTGTATGGAGAATACTAAAATAGCTGCAACAGTAACTTTCCATCCAGCTTGTCCTTCCATGCTGCAGGATGCTGGAATGATTAGTTCCTTGTGCAGGAACAGCAGCTGCTCAGGGAAGAAAACAAGGACCTGGCTGCAGACAAGGGAAGTTCTGGGGACAAAAATCTCAGTACAAAACGGAACAGAAGAATGGAAAGAAGAAGTGGGAGGGGGAAAGAAAACTGTGCCTCCAACACCCTTCAGAACAGCAGAGTAAAGAAGGATGTCAGGGCTGGTGCCTACTGAGACAAGAGAATTTGCACCAAGATCACAGATGAATGTTTCTGGGTGAGAGGAAAAGGATGACAGGCTTCAGCTGGTCAACAAGGCAGAGATGTCAGTGATCTGGGAAAAGGCCTTGAGAGAGGACATTGCAACTGTTACAGTGAGAAGAGTCAAAGCGATGCTGAAGAACACAGCAGTGATCTCTGAACTGAAAATGCAAAACAGCCAGAGTGTGTGTGGACTGAATTTATTATCCGATTTTTGGGGTGAAAAGGACTACAATGCCCAAAGTAAATATATTCAATGTATATTTCCAGAAGGATTGCTCAGAAATATTCCAAAACACCGCTGCGAATATTTAACCTGTAATATATTTTTGTATGCAGTCACAAAATTGTCTATCATCATCCCTGTATTCTCATTTGAATGCCAAGATAAATAAATGCATCTTTAAAGGGCCTGAAGACAAGTCCTAAATCTGGTCAGCAGTAAGGTGGGTTGTGTTTTAAGAGTACACAGGAAAAGAGTCTTTTCCTACCTCTCAAGGCTCACGAGCGTGTCACATAAAGAACAAGCTGTTTCTTCATGTTCTGCTGGAACTTTTGCCTCATATCAGCACACGAGTTAGATTTGCTTTTAATGGAAGAGCTGATATGGCAGCTGCAAATAAAGCGAGAGAAAAACGGAATTAACATCCTGCAGTTACCATTTTGTGGCAAACACCTGTGTTGCTCAGAACATACAGCAATGTGAGCCCATGAAAATCTTGAGATCTCCTTACTCTCAGCAAAAATCCAAATTTAATACAATGTACAGCTGGGCTTTTAAACTCAATTTTTAAAATAATTTGATGGATTTAAAAATGGTAAATGATATTGAATTTGGGTTTTATCATCTTTCATTCCATCACATCCTTCCAGGATAGTGCCTTCAAATTGCTCTGACATGTACTAAATGTGCTGCAAGGTTTCAGTGGCCTGCTCTGCTCTCGTGTAATAAAATGCTCCTTGACATTTGCATGCCAAGTGCTTTGCATAGAGAGTGCTGAGTTTATACAGCATGTACTGTGCTTAAAAACCAGTTTTGTACCCTTACCCTGCCTTCTGGGCCTCTGCTTCCTTGATATTATACTCTTTTGGTCTTTAATGAAAGGCATGTTTACTCTGTAGTTCTTCTGAGCCACTGGCAACAAACTGTAAGACATAACAAGGTTTAAATTAATGTACAGTGTGCCTTTTCCAGAATGTGAAACATTCCACAGGTGCTGAAAAAACATTCTTAATATTACAGACTTGATGGGGTTACCCAGGTACAAAATTTATTTCTCTTGACCTCAGCTCAAAGGAAAAAAAAATGCTTCAGCAAAGTCTGACTGTAAGAATGGTTTGTCATATTGATCTTAGAGCTGTGGAAACCACCACAGAGCTGAGTAATGAGGGAACACATCTAATGTTGGCTGGAAATGGTAAACAGAGACTACAGAAAAATGCAGTGGTAGAAACAGAAACAATTCTACTGGAATAAGACAGAACACTGCTTTTTCCACAGAGCTGCTGGAGCATAGGATCTCTTCTGTTTGCAAAGGCAAGATTTATGGGGGTGTTTTCCAGAAAGTACATACTGCTTGCACAGCAGTAAAATGGTTATGCTGCCACCCATGCAAAAAAAATGTATATGTTATCTGAATTTACTGAATGCTGAATTTAGTTCTTTGGCGAGAAAAAGAATAAAAAGAAAAGGAAAAAAAAGCATCAGCTCTTTTCTGATGAGTTGTTTCCCCTTGTCATTCAGAAACCCATCAGGTAACGTACCTGCAGTTCAATCTTCTTAACAATCTCTTTTTGTTTATGGACACCTTTTGACTCCTCTTCACATTTTACCTGTGCTGACTTTCTGTAGGGCTGTTAAAAAAATTCTGGAAAATTTTGCCAACTCACTGGTGCATTCCTCTCTCCTTTGCAGATATTGTTCCATATATGCTGGCCTGCATGAGGCATCCTAAAGAAACTGCTATTTAGTATTTCTGAAAATTAGAGTTTCTTCCAAGAAAAGCAGCTTTTTAAAGAGGTTTCAAGATAGGTACCCAAGTACAAATGCACCCAATTAATTAATCACTTTTGAAAATCTAAGCTTTGTTAATTCAGCTGTGAAAAAAAACCCAACCATCAAATAGAAGATACAAATATTTTTTACATGTATTACAAAATCAAGTAGATTTGAATAAACTATGCAGGAAGTCTGTTTTCAGTGTCCATGCTGTGCTGTTTGCATTCCAGTGGCGTAACTCAATTTTTCTGAATTTCTAAGTCTATTCTATCACTTTGCCATTCTTCTTTTAAATGTCATATGGAATTTAATACATTTAACATCAACAGGTATCTAATTACCTCTCTGTGTCTCCTTATCAGCACCCACTACCACTTCAGACATGTCCTCAAGTAGCCCTTCATTGGCTGCAGTTTCCAGACTACCCACCTTTGAGCACATCTCTCACTAATAACACTCTTTACTCTTCGCCTGCTACTGTAAAGTGAATGCTTTTATTCTCCTCTCCCTTGAAAGTCAATTTAACTCACTGTTTTCCTTCAAATTAACATCTTTCTTGTCCTTCCCACTGCTGTTTCATTCCGGCTTTGCTGCCAAACCCCTGGAGAGGCACTGACACCCATCTCCTCTGCGTTGTTCCCTCCAATCACTCATGCAGCAAAACACCTGTCACGCTCGTTATTAAAAACCCCAGTGTTAGCTGTCACAGTCTGAGCCATCCTCCAAGGTGCTCAGATGTCCTACATGGTAATAAATGACATTTTACTGAGCGCTCAACACCCATGAAGTCGTAATCCCCAAATGCAAAAGGTCCTTTTTCTACATTTTCGCGAAGCACCGCATATAGCAGGACGCAAAATGATTGCTGGATGGTGACTGTGTTAAATAGCAGCACAAGATACTTCTTAAAAGGCAGATTTGGAATGTTGCACTGTGAATTGTAAAGGAATTTATGAGATATGGAAGTAAGAAGTTGCTGGGCACCAGCTAAAGGGCTAATATTTAAAAAAACCCATGCTTAAAATGAATATCCTCTATTACCTGTGGCCTGGAGAGTTTCAAGAGTGCCAAGGACCCAGTCAGAAATTCCAAAGTTCTAGCACTGAGCCGTCTATTTTGTAGCATTAAAACCTGTTCCAGTTCTCCATCTGCAGAAATAGTGAAAACAAATAATCAAGTTTGTCTGTATTAGTGATATTTTTGAAATATAACCTCCATAGCTGTGAGTTAGTCAGACATTAATTAGAAAAGAGAAAAAAGCAAAGAAGAATTTAGTAATTTCACCTGACCTTGATTCCTATCCTTTAGTTAATCATCTGCAGGGTACTAATATTTACCTGTTCTTCAGGGATCTAAAAATGGTAAATCAGTTGAAGAGGTATTGATAAATATCAAAGAAAAGCCCCAAATTCGGGAATAAATCTTATAATGAAGATCCTTTGCAGAAATATTTATACCTACTCTTTTAAAAATATACTTTTGACTGCGAAGTGAGAGCTAAACTGCTGCCTGGAAAGCTTTGGGGCTAAAATCCAGTTAGTTTTTAATCTCTCATTCAGGAAGTCTCCTTCTCATTGTGAAGAAAATGTATGTCATCTGAGCTGATCTACATGCACTCATTATTCATTACACAGTAACCATGAAAAATTAGGCTTACATTTTGTACTCTAATCTGCTTTGTGAAACCTTTGACTGATTAGGTGGGGGCCAAATGATAAATGAGACTACCTCAGCAGTGACCTGGTGTTACACCACAGCTGCAGCTTCAACATTTGCTTTTGTCAACATGATGAAACATTTAAACCTTTGCACTAATACAGGTCCTCACTCAGCCAACAGCACTGAAAGTTCTAATCTGTATAAGCAAACATTCTACAGCAAAACTGCCATTGGACAAAAGGCTTTATATTGAGTCATGAATTCTTTTCTTAAAAGAAACCTCTCTGTAAGAGCCACACTCAGTTGTGTCTACTGATCAGCTGCCTCTACAGAATCCCTTTCCCACTTTTGAAATATAAATATGGATACCTGTGGGTTAGGGTTGTGTGTGCTCTCAAAATTATGTCTGTATGAGTTACATGAAGCTTTGTGAATTTAGGGTGCAGGGCTACAAGGCAGCTGTACTGGTAATCCATTTCTGATTTGTCTGTGAAGCATCCTGTGATCAGAGTCCTGGATTAAACATGATTTGAACAGCTTCAGAATTCATTACAGAATCCAACCTTTGCTACAGAGCTGCCCTGCAGAAAGTAACTCCCCATATTTTTCAGAGCTAGGAGCATAACCCTTGAGAGGTCCAGACTTGTAACTCAGGCCAGTCCCCTGAAATCACAGCAGTCATGTGATAGATGTTCTAAAGGGTGCACTGAACACCCTTCCCATATATTACACAAGATATCTCTCTATTTTCTGGCAGTGAACGGAGGCTCCCAGCTGTCACAGCTCTCAAGATTGTTTTTCAAATCTCATCTCACACACAAACCAATTGTTCACCTACATCTGTAAACAAATTGCTTGAAATTATAGCTTTGAATCCTCCACTGCTCCCATTCATCAGTGCTCAGCAGCAGCTGTGTAGGTAGTATATGATATTATCTCAAGCTTCCTCATATACCCCCTCAGCCTCTGGCAGTCTGAACCTAAAGGTCCTTCAGACAGAGAATGTGTCCTTTCCTTTACATTTAGGAGCAGTTAATTGTTTTTTCTTCTATTCTCTTAAATTGCTTTTGCACTTGAATATACTTCCAGCAATATATCATAGCAATAAATTCTTAAGTTTAATTATGCATTGCTTGAAAACACTTCCCATTGCTTTAAATTTTCTGCCAGATAATTTAATTTGGTGTGCCATAAATCTGGTGTCAAGGGAACCTGTGAATAACCACTCTCTAATCACCTTTTTTCCATGCACTTCATGATGTTACAGAGATTTGTCATAACCTTGTCTCCAGACATTTCTTTCCTGTCCTGAAGAGCCCCAGTCTATTTAATTGTTCTCGTGTGGAAGCCATTCCATATCTCTACCATCCCTCAGCACTTTTGTTCAGTCAAACTTTATCACTTGTGGCATCAGCCTGGCTGAATAGGAAGGACAGAAACTCAAGAAGCACTTATAAAATATTTGTATTTTTGCATAACATGCTTTCTCCTCTGGCTTCCACATCATTCTTAGGATTTTTCTTGCCTTTTTGATAGCTACTAAACATTCACAAAACTCTCCCAAATGATTACAAGAGCTCTTTCTTAAGTGGGAATTTAGAGTGTAGCAGAGCATGATATCAGCCTAATAATGATAATACAAATGTCAATTAAAAGGTAATTAGCAGTACTAAATGCTAACGTGCTTTTCTGGTCCAGTTTTACTTTGAAGGAAGTAAAAAGACTGAAGATTACCCAGCTTTGTACTGAACCACATTGGAGATCCAACAGATAAATTACTCTGTCAGACCTATTAAGTGCAGGTAATCACTGAGGGATGAGTAGGAGGAACACAGAGTAAGTTAAACAGAACCCCCAAAGCTAAACAGTTACACTCTGCTGCCAGCCTGTGTCTGAGAGACTTGCTGACCAACTCTCTATTGGTTGGTCCTTGTATGTAAAGGGATGAAAAAGCCACTCACCACATGTACTGTACTAGTTCTCTACTCCAATTTATCAGACTAATTCTATATATTGCTATTCTGCCACCTCTGTTAGACACAGACACAGTTTGCCTTGACTGAGAATCCAGAGGAAAACAGAAGAGCTTGGAAGAGCTTTGCCCCTGCAAATCAGAGCATGAAGTGTTCAACTGCTTTACCAAACAAAACTCATGAATAATTTAAATCCATGTTATGCCAACATGATTATATCCACCAAAAAATGTTGGAAACTTAAATTACTATTTACTTTTAACAGTATAAAGGTTCAGAAGCAACACATTGATTTACAAATACCCATCACTGTCATACATAATTGATAGAATACAATCAGCTACTAAATATCACTTAATAGCTGGCTTTGTTCTGTAATGATAATATATATGGAATTCCTGTTGAGGTCACTGGGATAACCCTCCAAGAGAAGGCTGTAGGAATATACATGTATCTATTACTATAGAATTATCAACAAAAAGAGAACAAGGAAAGAAAACACGATTAAATTTGGCTGGGATAGCTCAGTACTTTCTCCTAGTTCTGCAACCTGCAGTAAGAGAAGATGATGCTGTGCTGCTGATTTGACTGTACAGCTCCCTGCTGACTGCGTGGGGACAAAGAAAATCCAGAATTTGTCTATGTTGCATGGCACAGAATTAATAACATTTCACTGAAAGAGTTATTGCTTGAAAGAAGAGAAATAACAACATCCAAAGGACAAGAGATCCCCCACTCCTCATTCCTTCACCTTGGATTCCAACGGGTTATTTTGGAATGCATCAAACTGTTGGATTTGAGAGTCAAAGCTTCCAAAAGCCAGTGTGTGGCACACAGCTGTTGGAAAAGATGTTCACTGTGAAGTGGAGAAACCAATGTGTTATGGCATAGAGTGAGGGAAAGAGTCCAACTGGCACCGTGTGGGCTGAGACAGATACATTTAACCGGTTCTGCAGCAGATGAGTTCTTAATTGTCCCAGTGAATTCCAGACACCTCTCAAGGTTTTTCTAAAGTTGAAACATAACTCTGTATTCTGAAAGCGTATTTTTGGATATGAGATTTCCAGTGGGCTTATCTTGATGATGTGCTTTCTTACCTATGAGAATTCTGGCATTTATCCAGTTATGGTATGGATTCTTGGGGGTTTGGATTCTACGGTAGCTTCTAAGTTTTGCCTTTAAGAAAAAACAGTGTGTGAGTTGAATATGTTGGTCCCGTATTTTTCTGAACTAAGATTACCTTTGGCATTTTAGCTTATTCCAAGTGCAAATCTAAACATATAAACTTTTGGTGAACAACTGGAATAATGAACTTAGAACGGGACAGTATGCACTAGTGACTAACATAAAATACAGAGAAATGCATATGGTACAAGTACTGCCTTCTCTTTAACTTGGCAAATTAAATGTTAATTTTGACAGCCTTTTCTTTAAATGAGCCTAATCTTGAAAGCTACACCACCTAAGAAGATTTTATGCAACTTGGAACCTGCCAAGTGAATGTCAGCAAGGTGAATGATGTGTGCCTCTGTACACACACATACAAGGTGTTCAGTAAGTTATTAGGATTCAGTCACTTAATGTTAGAATTTAACAGCTGCTATTAATAAAGACAGACTATATCACCATAAACTCCTGGAACTCTCAGAACACAAGTTCAGCAGCTGCACAGCAGTTCTAAGTGTATCTGTTATGGGTCTGTGTCACTGTGAACTTCACTAATGTCCTACCACACAGGGCAGGACATGAATCTTCCTTCAAATTTACCTTTTTTGCTCCAGGGGCACTTGGAATCCAGACACTGGTTAGGACTAAAAGACTATAAGGTCATAGTTTTTTCCTTCTTTCTCCACTTCCTCATGTGGGTCTCTTCTGTCAGAATGCAACTGTGGGAAAGAACAAAGACTGAAGTTAAAAAAGTAGTATGTGAAATGAAGGCAGAACCAATAAAGCTGTTTATTGTTTTCACATCATCACACTTCCTCTTCTCTTTAAATTTTAAAAAAATTACTTAGGTGTATCTCTAAATTGTTAATGACTGCATTTATTAGCACTTATTAAAATTAAAATTTGGATATTTATATGTTTACCAGGATATGCAATTTTTATTTATTTATAATATGCTTATAGTACTTTATAAATTATAAATACAGTATTATTTGTATTCACACATTTATACTACTGCTTATTATTAGCAATTACGCATTTATGTCAAATCAAACTTGGAGGCAAAGGAAATAATGTGACTGATTTGTTTGAGAAAAGATGCTGACACACTGTTTGCATTCCATTTTACTTGTTTTTTGTTGGAATCATGCCAATGGAGGTAGTAAGATTATAAATACAAGGCCAAAGTTTCAAGACATGCCTCAAAGTCTGTTTAGTTTTTCCTGGGTTAACATATTTTGTGCACAGAAAATAATAGAGTAAGTTGAAAAGATTCGCCCTGATGAGAAGAGTCTTGAGCTCTGGGCAAACAGAAAACAGCTTTTTACAGGCTGTGGGTTTTGTTTCTTCACTGCCTCAAGCCTGTTTGGCCTGTTTTCTCCTTCCATGACACTATCTCTCAGGAATACTTTATTCCTTTCCCACCTTTTCTAGCCATTCAGT